GAAATGCGATTGAGAGGATTAGACCTGGGGGGTTTTTCGTCGGGACGTTGCCTGATGCTGAACGAATCTGGTTGGTTTTAGTATTGTTATTATTGATCATTGTTATTATTATTATCATTATTATTAATATTATTATTGTTATTATTATCATTATTATTATTATCATTATTAATATCATTATTGTTATCATTATGTATTATTATTGTTATTATTATCGTTATGTATTATTATTATTATTAATATTATTATTGTTATTATTATCATTGTTGTTATTAATATCATTAAAGTTATCATTATTATTTGTTTTTTTATTATTATGAAGTTGAGGTATTGCATAAAGAATAATGGCACGAACGGTGTATATTCGAACGATGTGGTACGGTTAGAGTATGATGATAAAGAAGTGTTGAATGATCCGAATGGTAAACCACCAATATTTGGTGCGAAATTCCATTTTTCACTTGATACTCAGGTGAGGAGGAGTGTTATTGTGTGGATATTTAATATTTTTAACGGGGGGGGGGGNAGGGAAGGGCAGTGTTTTGTGAAGTTGAATTTATTTGAATGGTTTTATGCTACTTTCAGGTGAATTGCCCCGAATACCTCGTGCACTTTCCTGTTCTGGAGAGGTTAGTTAACTTTGTGTTTTTGGCATAATTGATTGCGGAACAGTGATCCGTTAATTAATTATTTTATGTAACATCAATCAAATAAATGAATTGCAGTCTGTTCGAAGTGATATTGTATGAGATGAGGTTTAACATTGTTTCAGAATTTATGTATCATCAATTAAATAAATGAACAATTTTGAGGATTATTGAAGGCAGAATGAATATTATTGTTGTTATCGTTATGAAGGTATTAAAGGTAATCGTTTTTAGATTACTGAATGAATGCGGAATGGAATTGATCTATAAGAAGCGTTTCCCAGATGCGATAGATTATTATTTAGGAATGCAAGAAGGAAGGGGTTTGATGGGTAGAATGCAGGCGTTGGAGCCGTATCCGCCATTCGAGGGTGTCAGGTGGATTTATTTGTTATTATTTATTATTACCTGGATTGGCCAGGCTGTCAAACGTTTGTAACGTTGCTGGCCACAATGCTCGCATTTCCGTGCACATTGTTTTAGTCTCAATTTAAGCCATCCCGCTGGCCAGGCGAGCAGGCCAATCGAACACAACCGAGTAATTAATTAGTTGTCGTGAATACTTTGCATAATTAATCGTAGCCAAATATCAATCGAATAAATAATCATAACTTTAATAAAATAAATATTCCGCCGATCGCTCACAAAACGATTATTTATTATTATTATTATTATTTATTATTATACTCTCTTATTGTTGTGATTATTTCAGTTTGGTTGGTAAAGAGGATGAATACAAAGAAGTTGAAATAAAACGACAAAAAATTTTGCAAGAGCATCAACAACAGCAGCCGAATGAACGACATTCAACTGTGGTGAGAAGTTTTTACTTTTGTGGATTTGCGATTTGTTTTGGAATGGAGTGTGGAATGACGAGATTGTGTTGGAAATGCTTTCAGGGTACTTTGTCGAAGTCTGAATGGGAAGTAACGGCGATGTATTTGGTGTTCGCTTTTCGAAAGAAGAACAATGCAAAATTGTGATCGATCGATAGCTTTCATGATTTCTAATTTTTATCATTGTAAAAAAAGAAATGGAAAAGGTTCGGAATGAAGAGGATTTGAAGCAATTTTGAAGGAATTGTTCGAGATTTTTCAATGGAAGGGGAAGTTTTGAGCGTAACGTTTGGCATATTCATCATTTGTGAATGTGGTCGGGAAGGGTACCCGCACAATTCGCCTAAAGACCTTTTGCCTGAGGACAGTTTGCCTAACGACGGTTTTAATGAATATTTTGCCTAATAGGTTAATTGACCTTAGGCAAAACGTTTTTAGGCAAATTGTCCGGCCACGATCGGTGGGGGGCAAGAGGTGATACTTAATGGCACCGTATCACTGGCTTTGCTGAATGATTTGTTCAAGGCAGAAAGATATTCAATCGCCATTTGGTATTGTATCCAAAAATGGGAAACTGATGAATAATCGGAGAATATTTCGTTAAGTGACATTGTTCAATTTGTTGTTGTGGTATACTGTTGAATTGTGTATTGTGTGATGAGGCGAGTAATAAAATGTTTTGTATTTCGTCGTTTTGACTGGATCATGCTCAGAGCGCGTGATGCTGACCGATCGTTCTCATCGAAGAAAGGAATCGATTTGTATATCTGATTGTTTTGCTTCCATTTCGGGATTATTTTTAATTGTTTTGTTCAATTTTTAAAATTACATCTGTATCTTTTTTGTTATTAGTGTCATTTGTTAAATGAATTTTGGTGAAGTTCGAGAGAGAGTTTCGGGTGTTTCGGTCGATTGTGTGATGTTTTGAAGTTTGATTTGGTTCGTTGATCTTGATTTTATTGCGTACGATATATTTACAAACATATATCACTGTATGTTTTCGTTGCTCTTTTCATGAATCGTAATAAGTTTAGTGTGGTCGGTTATAGCAATGATGGTGATATTGATAGTTATTTCCATCGATATTATTGATTGACCCTGAATTGTTTGATAATTGTTATAATTATTTAGTGATAGAAATCGATTAGAAGCGTGATCAAAGCGATACATCCATCCATCGATCGATCACACGATGTTGGAATCGTGTCTTACGCTCGAACCGAGTCTCTCGGAATTCCACGACTATTCCATATTCAACTCAAATGCACCTGTTTATTTGCTTGGACATAAGTTCGCGGCTAGAGAGGGTTGGTTCTTTTGGGTGTTTATTGCATCGCAATTGTTTATTTTAAAATGAAATGATACTTTCGGAATGAAGGATTGCATTCGGAATCAGTTTGTGTCACGTCGAAGTGAAGTGAATTGCACCCGGTCAATCTGCCTAAAGCATTTAGCCTAACGACAGTTTGCCTAAAGACACATTGCCTAACGGACAGTTTGCCTAATTTACGGTTTTTTAATGAATATTTCGCCCAATAGGTAAACTGTTCCTTAGGCAAACTGTCCGTTAGGCAAAGTGTCTTTAGGTAGATTAATCGGTTACGGTTGCTATGAATTTTTAGTTTGAGCGAATGAAATGTTGAGAGATATATTGTTGGATTGAGGTATTGTTGAAGGGAATTTCAGATATGGATGCGATAAAAGACTACGTAACGTCAAGACTCTGGTTCACTTATCGTAAGAATTTCATGCCCATAGGTAATTTTTTGGTTGCATTCGATTATTAGTGTTATGATGAAAACAAATTGAGGTTAATGAAATTAGTTTGAAGGGGGTACTGGACCGACGAGCGATCAGGGTTGGGGTTGTATGTTGCGGTGTGGTCAGATGTTGCTGGCACAGGCATTGATCATACGTCATCTGGGCAGTGATTGGACCTGGAAGAGGAACAACAAAGAGGACGAATATAAACGTATTATCAGAATGTTTCAAGACAAAAAATGTTGCTTGTTTTCGTTACATCAAATCGGTGAGAATTTGATCTGGTCGATTTGTTGATGGTGTTTTTAGTGTTCATTGTTTTACCGTGCGATTACCTTCCGAGTGGTTGTTTTGTCGTTGTGAGCGATCGGCAGAATATTTATTTTATTAGAGCTATGATTACTTATTGGATTGATATTTGGC